TGGGCGGGGGGGGGCACAGGCTTGCCGCCGGCCAGCCCCCCCAGGATGGGTGCCCACACCCAGGGCTTGCCGCCGCCCGAACCGCCCCACCGGCCTGATCCCACGGCCTGTGTACCAGGAGGGGTCGATGTCCGGATCTGCAAGGCAAAAGGTGAGGAACTTGTCAGGGGGTGATGGGGGAAGACATGGAGAGGGGACAGGGCATGGCACCCATGGGTGGCGGGGATGATGAACACCAGGGGAGCAGGAAAAAGGCGGTTAAGGGTGATAAAAGCTGTCACAAAAGCTGTTTCAAAGCAAACCTTTGCTTCTGCATAGTGACCTCCCGCCCTTGCCCCCAAATGTAACTGAGTCTGGGGATGCAGAGGGGGCTGGAGGCAGGGGGTTGGCTGCGGGGGGGAGTCCCTTACTCCTGCTCTCCTTACTCCTGATTTCCATGGAGCGTTCGCGGATGCGGCCCTGGGCGACGGGCAGGGTCAGGCAGACGAGCAGCAGGCACAGGAGGCAGGTGGCCCCCAGCTTCATCCCCGGCACTCTGACTGCGGTGTCTTGACTCCGAAGCCTCCTGGTCCCCAACACTTCCCGCTCTTGCCACAAAGACGGTGGCCTTCGGGGTGGCTGCAGGAGCAAAGGAGTTTGACTGTTGCGGAGATAAACCCACTTGGGTTAAATGCTGGCAGGGTGAGCCCCCCATCAGGAAGGGGAGGCTGCGATGCAGGGGATGGGGCTGATGCCACAGGGCTGCCATCCCCATCACACCATCTTTGGGCCAGCAACAGTGCAAAGGGCTTGGGGCAGCTTAATCAAAATCCCTGGGTTTTGCTGGGGCTGATAGCTCTGGGGAAAATATCCCCTGCAAACCTGAGTTGTACAAACTGCATGTTCATTAAAAGAGGTTTTTGTCGTAGCCTAGCACCTTAGGCCAGGCTTGGAATCTCTCTTTCTCTTCTGGACGCCCTGTGCACCAGTGGGACTCCAGAACCCAGGAGATGGGGAGAGGGGCCACCACCAAAATGCAGAGTTGGCAGCACCAAGCAAAAGCTGCAGAAGCACAAATGGTTTTTACTGCTGGATGCTGGGTGATGTATGGACCGCAGCCGCCTCTGCACCCTTGGCACCCACCCCTGGACCCAGCTACTGAAATTATAACCCGGGAGCACCCTATAACATGCTTTATGGCATCGAGGCAATGAGTGGGACTGTGCAGAGCAGGCTGAGTGATGGGCTTGATTTCTGCAGCCACCTGCAATGAGGGAGCAGGGCAAGAGGCAGAAGCGGGAGAGCTGGGTTAAGCAGGACACGGCAGGGATGTGGTGGCAGCTTTATTTCCAGAGACTTTTGCAAAGGAGAAGTTTGCAGCGTGCCAGGCAGAAGCCAGTCTGGGCTCCTGAAAGCTCAGGTTTGCTGTGGCCGCTGACTTTTTACAAGCCCCTTTTGGAAACCCCCCAGCTGGCTGGACAGACACAAGGACACACACACAGAAGCAAAGCAGTTCTCAGGAAATTATCCAGCAACAAAAGCATCATGAGAGGGAGAGAGAAGCAGCACTTCCCCTCACTGGGGCTGCACTTACCGCGGCGTGGCGAGGCGAGGTGCCTGGCTGACGTCCCACTGAGCCAAGTGGCCGCCGTCTGAGCCAGAGTCCCCTCCAGTTGCTGTTTTTATGGCTGTTTTTGTGCTGATGTCAGAGGCGAGCCCCATTGGGGACTGAGCCGGGGCATCTCCCCTCCCCGCTGTCCCCTCTCATCAAATCAGCACAGGGATTTTCATGACTCAGAAGGGACCAGCGTTTTATCTTTTCCTGGCCGAGGCAGATAGCTTGGGAGTATGTTAATCCTTGTCCTCAACCCAGTGTTATTTAGGACAAGGGGAAGTTTAACTGGCTCATCAGCCCTCCTGCAGGAAGCCCCTCACCCAATACCCACTGCAGGGGGTTGGTGGGTGATGCTGCCCTGAACACCAGGGTCCTGCTGCCACAAACCCACGTTGCTGCAGGAGTTATGCTAGGTCTCACCATCCTTTCTCCTTCAGCACCACCCCTCACACTGCCCCCAAAAGCTGCTTTAAGGAAACCAGAAAATTAAATACAGAGAAGAGGGAAGGCAACTTGCTGGGGCATTTGGGCTGGCAGGAGCAGGCTCATCCCTACAGTGTGAGGGATTCAAACTTCCCATTTTAAATGGGTTAAGTCACCCCCAGGTAAAGATTTATGATGATGTTTTTTCTGCTGGATGCAATGCTAGAGGGGTTGGCTCGGGTCCCCAGCATAGAGGGCTGGTGGGTGTCCAAACACAGGTCCACCCCCAGGTAAAACTGGAGTTACTGGGACTAGAGACATCCCTTTTTTGGGATGCTTTTGTGTTGATAGGAAGGTGAAGATGTCATCACTGGTGGGGTGTGGGCAGGGGGAAAGTCTCTGTCTGACACCCCCACATGGGGCTGGCATTGCCCTGGGACATATCTCCATCTCATGCTGTGGTCAGCTGAGCCTGAGCATAGACAGTGTTGGGGGACAGTCACAGGAACAGCATGCGACTGCTGCAGAGGGGGCATCAAAGGCAGGGAAAGGGACGAAGAGAGGAGGGAAAAAAACCCATCAGCCAAGGAAGCCCAGACCTTGGGCTCAGCAGGGCTCCCTCTACCCCAGGGTTGTTGCTATTTAAAATGCATCAGGGGAGGCTTAGACTGGATATTAGGAAAAAAATTTTCACAGAAAGAGTGGTCAGACAGTGGAATAGGCTGCTCAGGGAGGTGGTGGAGTCACCGTCCCTGGATGTGTTTAAGGGTCGTTTAGATGAGATGTTGGGGGATATGGTGTAGGGGACAACTTGTAAAGTAGGGCTGAGGGTTGGACTCGATGATCCCAAGGGTCTTTTCCAACCTGATTGATTCTGTGATTCTATTATTTAATACAGATTTAAAGCAACCCCTCAATGTTGTGGGCTTGTGTTTTGGGTGGCTTTGGCTGCCAGATTTTATCCTGGGTTTCCATGCACGTTGGAGCAGTGCGTTTCAGGGTTGGCCCCTCCTTACCCCCACACCATGCATCCCCTTTGCCTGCCCAGCCTCGCCACTGGGTACCACTGACCCACACTCATCACACCCGCGGCTGTGTGACCAGCATCTGACAAGTTGTACTGGCATCCTGTTCATCATCATCTCCCCCCATTCTCCTTTGGTGCTGCTGATTCAGATCCTCTCTGCTTTCACCTGCCTAATTTCAAAGCAAGGGGTACACCAGCTGGTTAAAGGAGAGGATGGGAAGAAAAAGGAACCTCTTCTCAAGTGAGCTAAAAGAACAGATGCTGCAAAATGAGTCCTAGGTTCTGGACACAAAATTGGCTTTATTGCATGATATAGTGTACATATATGTAACCTCTACACAGGCATATTAGACAGGAAACTAGCAGATAACAATATGGGTAACTACAGCCTGAACGATGCCTTAGTTTGCACTGCTGAGGCTCACTGCAAGGACATTTTCACAGGGTCAAGTGTCTGAGTGGTTGCATGGAAGGACTTCAGTTATGTCTGAAACCAGATTCAGCAAGAGATGTAGTTGGGGTGAAGGCTGAACCCTGACACCAGAAGGGTGGGTGCAAACCCATAGCTTTGCCAAGATCTTGATGGAGTTCCCTTCTGCCAGCCAAGGAGCTGCCACCCTAGCACCAAGGCTGGCTGAGCAGCAAGAGATACACCCGGCAATGCCATGGTGTCTGGGAGAGTTTCTACAATGGCAGTGGTTTGCACTTAACCCTTCTGAACTTCAGGCCATAAGAATTTAATTTTAAAATAAGAAACTAGTTCTGTTCCCAGTTAGGAAGCCCAGACTATAGACTTACAAGACTGCTCTGGGAGGACTGCAGAACCAATTTCTAGGCAGCTAGCAGTCTCTACTACTACCAAAGCCAAAAATATGTGTTACTTGCATGAGAATTCACACTACCGCTCATAAAGTGGTTTTAGTTCAGATGCATAGGAATGGCCTAAAATGGTCCAGCCTGAGTGGCCATCAAAGGGAAAATTGCCAGCATCGGTCTGACATCCCTGCATTGCCCATTGTGGAGGGAGGGAGGTGAAGGCTATAAACAACAGGAACCAGCAGGTACCAAGCAAAGTTTTTTAACGCGAACCTCCTCCAAAGTGACCTGCAAGAGAAAGCAAGCCTCTCCCCATCCTGATGTCCTGGGCATGGGTACAGTGCCAGGTACTGATCCAATAGGATTAGTGGATGTGAAGAATTAAATGTTGGAGGAAAACTAGCAACTTGGGGTATCTAGGGGAGGGTGTTACCAATGCTGCTGTCACCTGGTAGGAACCCAGGGCCACCACAGCCTCCAAAGACCATCACAGCCCCTCCAAAGTATCTGGTGGTACTACCAGGTTCCACAGTCCCATCATGAGGGACTGGGGACATGCTCACGTGCAAAGTGCCTCTTGGCATGAGCTGACCCCTCTGCAGAGCAGGGAAAGCTTCCAAAGAAGCACCTACACCCTACTTGCTGGAGTCATAAACTTGCTGATATAGCCTCACATTTGAGGACTGGAAAAACAAACCGATCTCCAACAAGCCCTCCAGCCTTTCTTCCACCTTTCTTGCATCGCCTCACTCATGTCCCCAGCTGGTCACAGCTGCTTCAGGCACGGTGGCAAGAAGCCTCAGTGAGTGTTTGCATGGCTTTGTGTAAAGATCTGTTGGGCAAGTGCTTGCTAGGAGGGAGCCAGCACTGCTCTCACTCTGCTTTGCTGCTCAGGGAAGGGAAGTGATGCTCCAAGGGACATCACAGGGAGTTGGGACCAGTGCTGGGGTGCAAATCCCAGCCTGGGATGCCTGGGTCCCTGCTCTACCTGGGGTACCCCCAAGGGCATCCTGTCCCTGCTGTTAGCAACTGTCCCCACTCAAGCACCAACCTGGGAGAGAGCAGGGACAGGAACTGACAGCTTTTGCCAGGGTGAGGGCTGTACCACTGCCCCCAATGCCATGCTGGATAGCCACACTGATGTCCAGCTCCCTCTGAGGACGTTGCTCCTGCTCTGCACTCCCCTGGTCCCCTTTGTCGACCTGGTACCAAAGAGCTGCCCAAAGCCAGGGTCTCATGCCTGCATTCTCCCATGAGCCCCTGGCCAAGTGTCTGTGCCAAAATGCCTTGCTCCTCTCTCCCGCACCTTCTGGCAAGGCATCCTGCCCATGGCCTCCAGCGTCCCTCCTGTACAGGGTTTCAGGGGAGATGGGCATGGGGGAAGGAAGAGCAAGTGTTGGGGGAAGGCGGTGAGGCTTTGTGCTGAGGTCTTGTATCGTCAGTGAAATGCGGTGGCAGGAGGGTCTCCCTCTCCTCAGGACAGGTGAGTCATCACAGGCTTCTGCAAGACACCGAAGGGAGAAACCTCAGCTCACTGCCATGCCTGCACCACCCCGAGCCACCCCAGGTGGAGGCCAGCATGCTCCTTGTCCCCTCCAGCTGTTGCCTCATGGAGCAAGGACCTGCCTCATCCCATGGGCCATGCATGCAGTGGGAATTCAAAGATGTACATCTTGTTTGGTCCCCCCACCCTGGGGCTTATGACATCCCAGACCTCAGGGGATGACGCCTGGGAGTGCCTGCCCTGGTGAGACCAGTGCCGAGAACTGGGGCACCATCGGCTTGGGGAGAGCATGGGGAGGGATAGGTTTGTCTGTGCAAGCCCAGGGAGGCAGGTCCCATGTGGAGCCCAGTTCAGCAACCCTTCTGGGTGACTGGGTTCATACCGCAAAGAGCCTCTCCACTCTCCTGTTCTTCCCATTGGGGTTTCTCTGTGTCAGGGAGCCACGGTAAACAGAGTTGCGGTCAAAGGAGTCATCAAGACCTGCAGTGAAGGAAGAGAGATGGGCAGCAGGTCCTCATCCACCTCACTAGAGATTTCAATTACCCACCAAGTCAAATGGGTTTTACTATCCCCTGTTGGCTATGGTTTTGGATGCATCACTGCTCTTCCCTCTTCAGGAGGGTGGTGGGAAATCCTTTTACAACAGGGAGGCAAAAGCTGCTGCTACTTGTGTTTCCAGAGTGCTGTACGAGCTGGGTCAGCCTGCCAGCAGTCACCTGCAAAGACCTCCGCTCTGGAAACCTCCACAGTACAGCAAAAGCCCACCCTGTGAGGAGCTGTTGCTGCCCAAGCCTATGACACTCTGTTTGACCTACTGAGTCATCTCATCTTCTCTGCTCCTAACTTCTGCCACCTGCACCTTTGCAGGCCCAACTTTGTAAGTCATTGACCTGCAGGTAGGGCAGTCAGAAGACCGAGTCGGCCCATTGTTCAGCCCAGGCAGAGGGGATTAGGCTCATCTGGTGACGTCTGTCTCATCTGCACATCCCTCTATCTCCTCACAGGGCTGACATGTACCCTGGGCTGCCTTTATCTGCCTGCCCTTTGCAGGAAGGAGGTGACTTCTCCTCAGCACGAGAAGGGACTTTTTCACCGGCTAGCCTCAGCCTGGGAAATGGCACTGTTAATTGTCTGCATGCACAGGGGAAACACAATTCCTTCTCTGCATTAAATCATCTTTCTCCCCTTCCCTCCCTTCATCTTCCATTATCTGGAAGGAGAGCTACTCTTTCTGCCTTTAAGCTTATGAGGCAAGATAAGAGAGAAATAGAAAAGTCATTTCCTAATGGGTCTGGCTGATATCAGTCAGAATAAAACACTTCCAGTGATTGCCCCCTACCACACAAGCTGCTGTGCCAAGGTTCAGGTCACTGTCTACTTTAAAGCACTCCCAAGCTGTCATTTGTTATAGCTGGGCTGTGGAGGGCATCTTGCCCTCCACCAGAGACCAGTGACTGAGGCAGGTGGGCAGCTGGGTCAAGGATACCTTCTCCAAGATGACCAAGCAAGGAAGAAATTTCTATCAGAAGAGATGGTGGTTTTAGGGTGATGCTTTGAGGTCTAATAGCCAACGAGATGCCACAAATGAAGTAACACAGATGTCTCTCTGGACTCTGGTGGCAGAAGCCCAGGCTGCAGAGAAAGTCTTGGTTCTTAGAGGACTGAGCTAACTCAGTCTGACCTCTGCTCTCCCATCACTGTCCCCAATCCTGCAAGTTGCCTCCTCCTTTCTAAGTTATCCACCACAGGTTTCCCCTGTGGTGGCCACGAGCACAGGGAAGGGGACCCCCAAATGAGACACACAACTGGATGCAGAGAGACAGGACCAAGCGTCCCCCAAAGCCCAGCCCATCCACCTATATGTCCCCACCTCCTGTAGGCAGAGCCGTGGTCCTTACCGGTGATTTCGAGGGGACTGTTGAACTTCCTCCTGAACCCCTGGGGTCTGGGCATGGCCTGCAAGAGAATGGGAGCAGCCTGCTGTGGGCAAGGGGATGGAATGACAGAGGTCATCACTTTGAAAACAACTCCCTAGAGACCCTGGTTGTTCCCAGATTTAATGCCACGCCATGTGCACTAGCTGGCACAGATTAAACACATACTCACTTTGATGTCATCTGAAGACTCCCCTGGACTGCTGCTGGTGGGACTGGGAGAGTAGAGGCAGGCAGCCTGTGGGCAGAGGAATGGCAGAGGTTTCTCTTGGGGTGCAGAGAAGGCAGAAAATTTGGTCTGCCTTTCTTTGAATTTTCACCTCTTTTGTTTAGCCTGGGCTGACCCTAAGGTGAGCAAAAGAGGGAGCGCACTGTCACAGCAGCAACTCTGCCTGACAGATTGTGATTGTGAAAATCAGCATGGGGATGCAGGAGTTGAATCCAGGCTGTGTTGCATGCAGCAGCCCTGTGTGCCCTCCCTGCAGCTCCAGGAAGAACACCGGTCACCAGATACAAAATCCTCCCTTGATGCACATAAGGAATCAGAGATGTCCCCCATCCTCAGTGAGACATCCACTCTCAGAGCCTTGGGGCAGAGTACCAGGCAGCAGGAAGGGAGCTGGGCACAGCTCAGTAAGCCAGGCAGCCCTTCACAGCACCCAGGGGCAGCAGAACAACCTGGGGGAGCACATACACCTCAGGGCTGGGACCTCTGATACCCACCGTCCTCCATGCTCACCTGCTCGCTCGGCTTCTTCCTTGCCTTTTCCAATGACTTCACTGTCAGCCCTGCAGCGGACAGAGCCGCAATTCGAGATTTGATGTCCGATATCTTTAGAGGGAGGCAAAAAACACAGATGGTGTCTGGAGGACCCATCACCAGCTTCATTTGCCTTCACTGGCTGGGAAAAGCAGCTCTCAGAGCCAAGCCCTCACCTCGCTCTCTGCCTGCTGCACCTGAGCGGCTGCCGAGGCCACTTTGTCCTCCAGCTCTGACAGCTCTGAATCAGTAGTGCCGCTGTGCTGAGCCCCCTCCTCAAGCTCCTTCAGGGTCTTCTCAAGCCGGTAGGTCTTCCCAGCAGTCAGGTACAACTGAAATAAAAGTAAAATAAAAACCACCCCACACTGGAGAATTAACCTCCTTGGAGTCCTGCTCTCCTGGTGTGACCACAGCCCCAGACGCAACAGCTCCTGCCACTGTTTTACAACTGCCTCTTGCCTTGCAGCACAGACAGTACCAGTCAGCTCTGGCAGGGCTTTTAATCTCATTTCCTCCCTTCCTCAGGCTTTTTGAGAGCAATTACCAACCTTGTGAAGTGGCAAAAGGCTCAATGGGAACACAGGAAGGACCAAAACCCAGTGACCTACTTGAGAAGCATCAGTATCTTTATGCTGTGTGCTCAGAGGGGAGGCAGGTACCTGCAAACAAGTGCAGGCTGCCATGTCCTGTGGTGGCAGCAAGCTGGGAAGGAGACAGACTGACTTTCCAAATCTGCTCAGTCTTTTTAAGGGTGTCTGTACTGTTGGGTGGCCTGGGAGTAGGGTAAGGATTTGGGAGTTTGGCCCTGGGCTGTTAACCAACCATACCCCTGTAAAAGGCAGCTCTGGACACCCAGGAACTGTTCTGGACACCCAGGAATGATCCCAGCCAAGAGCCCCAGCAAACATGGATGTAAAAGCTGCCCAGTGCAGCAGTGGGGCCAACATGGGAGTGCTGACCTGGGATGCACGGTGACTATAGGAAACAGCATGCCACCTTTGCTGTCTAGATAAGAAGGATAAAAGGACCTATCCAAATAAAACCAGTGATTATACTGTCACTTGCCTCCCTCCTGGGCTACTACAAGGATGAAGTCCAAGCATGTTAGTATGTTGGTATGCAATCAGACAGGCTGTGGCCACTGTTTTGATGACTGATCCCAATATCTTGGTACTGCTAATGCAATTCCTGCTCCTCCAGCCCTCTCTGGTTTTCCTGGGCTGGGTATTGCACACAATTGCCTGGCACGAGCCCCCTGCATGCACTGAAGTACCGAGCATCCACCCAAATCACAACAACACACCCCACACTCTGGTTCAAACTCAGGCCATAACAGGTTGCAAATACTTGAGGGTGCTATCCGTGAAGCTGTTCAACTTGTGAGTCACAGGGATACAATTTATTCTTGGGCCATCAAACTCTTCCAGCGCCCTCAGACAGGTGGCATCCCTTGGAGACCAGAGCACCAGAGCAGTGAGCCAGCCGTGACTCAGCCAGGGCTCCGGAGGGAACGGCAGGATGAGCACACACCTCCCAGGGCCATCATCTACCCACTGCCTCGCCCCTGCCCCGCTGCTGACGGCAGCAGCACTAAGCCCAAAGTTCACAACCTTCCCAGCCCTATCCCCTCTTCTGGGAGACAGGGAACCTCAAAACCTTTATGGAGCCACCTCTCTTCCCCTGGGATGCTGCATTTGGCCAGAAACCAGCAAGGTGGTGCAGCTTCTGAGCACATTCTGTTTCAGCAGCTCCCTACTTTATGTATAAGCTTTCCCCCGTGTGGGACAAGACATGGAGTGTGCTATAAAACCCTGCTCCCCATTGCAGGATGTTTCTAACAGCGAAACTCAACCACCCAGATGGAGATGTGTCTCTTCTCCCCATTTGTGAACTGTTTCTTTGGAGCTTGGTAAAATTTCCCATGGGGAATCGATTCATCTGGGTTTACAGTAGCTAAAAAAATTGTCGGTGCTTCACAGTGTCACACAAACCTAGCAGGGGATTATGCCCCAGGCACAAGTCAGCCTTAGTGAACAGATAGGTTGTACTATCCTTGTTCCTAAAAGCCTTGATGAAACAGCACTGAGGAGGAACCAAAGAGAAGCGGGACAAAAGTTTGTGCTGCAGCTGAAGCACAGGACAGCCCAAGTCCAGGAAAGCAATGCTACAGCAAGGTGGGGACCACACTCATCCTCTCTCCCTGGCACTCGCCCAGGATAAACCAAGATAAGGGAAGCCACAAGGCAGAGCATGTGCACTTGCTGTTGTGCCATCTCCCTCATAAGACAGCCCTGGCCACTGTCACACAAGACCAGACTCTTTAGTCCCTCTGTGGTGCCCGCCCTTTTAATGCTAACCAACTCACTAACAAGAAATTGAGGGGGGGGGTGTTGGGGTGTTCCTCTGTATTCCCACCCCCCTGATGCCCTCCTTGCTTGCAGAAAGCTCTCGTGAACCTTACGTTTTCTTCAAGCTCACGGTATGCTTCGGCCACCTCTTTCCCATCTCCCAGGCTGGGAAGCTGCCCCGTGGGGAGGGCACAGCCGCCATTGCACTGACTCTCTCCATGCAACGACTCACACACTGCTTTCTCCGTGGCGTTTATGGCTCTCAGTACTTTGGCCGTGATTTCACTCAAAGCCTGAGCCGACGACCTCTGCAAACGCCCGGCACAGCCAAAGCGGAGGGTGGGAGGGGGAAAAGAATAAGGACATTATTTTAACGTCGCGTACAAAACAGTGCAAGTCGGGGGTGAAAGGGGCATCAGACCTTCAGGAGCTGTAGAAAGATGGAGAAGCGATAATTAAAGGGCTTACGCTGTTCCTGAAGGGCTCTCCACTGGAGACGAATGCGTGGCTAAAGCAGAGCTTTGATCTCAGCCTGTGCTTTCTGGAGGATGTCTGTGACAAAAGAAGTCATCTCAAAAGGCTTGGAAAAGAGGTTATCAAGGGATGTGTTGCTCACTGGAAGCAGTGCCACCGGAGCTGACAGCAGCAGCACCTGGCCACCTGAAGGCCACTCAGTTACTCAGCAGTTAAGATCTAATTACAGCATATTGCTTTACACTTCAGCAGGCCTGAGCACGGATGTGAATAACACATTAAGTTTGTGGCAAAAGGGAAAAAAAAAATCACCATAAAATTATCGTATTGCCACACTACCAGAACTTGGGACCAATGTCCTCTCTTCTCACCCCAAGGAGCACTGACAGCAATAATGCTCCTAAGTGTTGCCTTTTGCTTGATAAGCCACTAAGCACATGTAAAAATAGGCTGAAGAAACTCATCATCTCTCTCTCAACTGATAATTCCCTAGAAACCAAGGAGATGGGGGTGATATATGCACTGGTGACAAAGACAAACAGTTATGTTTACAACTGCATGTATTTCCAGGTGAGCCACCCTGCAGAGAACCAGCTAACTCAGTCCAGGTGATATTTTTATCATTTTATGGTGCCTTCATGGTACAGCAGAGTTTTTTCACATTTTCCATTAGGAGCATCTGCTTTCATCTCAGTGTTCCCCAGTTAGAAGACTTCTGCCTGACTGGAGAGGAGACTGGCATAAAACCAAACTCAGAATCATGCAAAATCCAAACCTGGATCTGGTATAAGGAAAGTTGCTGTTAAAATACTCATACTCACACTGACATAGCCTTTAACCAAGGCTGGCCCAGCTACATCACGGAAAGCATTTCTAACTCCATATTTCACAAAGGTACTTGAGTGTTACCACAAAGTCAAAAGCTGAATCTTGTTTCACTTCTCAAGATTTGGTTCTGTTTAAGCTGTTGCAACCCAGCTTGGTCTCTCTTTGCTTCGGAGCTGTCATATAGCTCCTGTGTTACCTTCCTGCATGACCCCACTGAGAGACAACAACTGAACCTGTATCCTCCCTGCTTCATAGCTGGGTTTTGGTCAAAGAAAGTAGCAAGTCTGGAGAATCTGGGCTTCATTTTATGAAAATGAAGATGCTTACATTGATACCCTACTAACATCTCCTGATTCCTGAGCACGGATCAGGGGCTGAGCCTCTGTCTGCTGCAGATGAGCAGCTCACACAGGAATTAAGTTACCTTGGCTTGGTGAGTTATCACTTATTCTCTGTGCTACAATTAACTGGAAATGGTTACTAAGAAGATGCATGTTATTTAGCTGATGAGTGGTAGTGAAGTCCAGCTGCAGCAACTATCTAAAAGCAGCTTTTAGGAAAAAGGAGGCAGTAAAGGAGGCTTTCAGTAAGGATGCAGCGCACTGCTGACCCAGTGTCGGTAAGAGCACAGCAAACGATATCCAAAACCACGAAGGAAGCTATCCTGGGAACAGTCACTTGCTCTAACCCTGAGATTTTATGTAGAACCATTCAGAGAGTTATACCTGAGACAGACTCACTAAATGCACCACGTGTGTACATGCAACCACACTCTCCAAGCCCAACAGCAGGCAGGTTTTGCCTTGCAAGGCCTAGGAACAAAAGCACATTGACAAGAGGCCTCATGGCACCATAAAAGTCTCCACAACCTCAGATGGAAGGAGCTTTGCAGGAGAGGAGGGCAGCATGGCCCTGCTCGCTTCCTTTGCTGCGCTTGCTGCAACAGGTGTGTCAGAGCAAATGTACACGTACCCCATCCACGGCCAAGGCAGAAAGGAGGGGATGAACAAAGAAGCCATTAAAGACCCAACAAGGAACACTGACCTCTCCATTTTGTGCTAATGGACCATCTCGGGAGGCTCTGCACAAGTGGAGAGACACAAGATCTCCCTTTCTTTGTGAGTTCCCAGTGCTGTCACCCAGCCCTACTGCCTGTGAGGGAGATGTGGCCCAGCACCTCTGTCTGCTCTCACTCTTCAACCAGGGAAACAATTCTCCCACAAACAAATGCTTCTCCAGCCCTGGCACAGGGATACATGGGGGAAAAATAGATCTCCAAAATGTAGCCAGCAGGCAGGGGGAAAAATCAGAGCTGTGCTGAGCCATGGGGGTGAGGGACCCACTGAGGTGATGAGAACAGGGCTGCATAGATGTTGTGATCCCTTCTCCTCTCCATGACCCATGTCCCCATGGATCACCCACCACTGAGTAGCGGACAGGAGCCAGCACAATGCTGTAAGTACAGGAGATACTGACCCAGCAGAGTAGAAGCGGGATTTTGGGGCTCAGGAGCACTGACAGGTCTGGAAGAGACATTTCAGGCTGTAGCAGGTGCCTGACAAAGGCTGCCAGTATTAAATCATCATTGAACTCTTCTCCCACCCAGGACTCTTCTCCATAATGACATCCAGATCCTGAGGCAACTCTTCTGAATAGACGTGGAGGTTGTGTACCTCTCCATGACAGGCAGTATCCTGTAAGACTTCTAAGAGACTTTACTTTTGACTCTTGGATGAGATGGGGAGAGCCTATAAGGAGAAAGGCCCAGATCCAACACCCTGGGACTTCCCTACCCCTTAACTCTGTTAAAGCAAGCAGCTAAGTCAGACACACCACAGCCTTGGGAGGCACTGAGGTGGAGGGGTGGGACACAAAGGGTTGTGTTATCATGGTGTAAGCCATAAACCACCAAGAGCAGAAGAAACCACAGATGGAGCCTAGAACAGTATGGAGCCTAGACAGATATTACCTTTCGAGCATCTCTGGCCATTTCATCAATGGAGGAATTAATCTCTGGTTTCTTTGCTCTCTTCTTTTCTTCATGCTCCTCTTCTTCAGAAGAGACTTCTTTGTCACTGATGTTGCTGGCTAACTCCTCCAGCTTCCTCTTCAACTCCTCTTCCTCAGCATCGGGATCAAGTTGGGACTCTGGGGCTGGAGACTGAAGGAGCAGAAGAAGGGAGCTGTGTAAGAGACTCCTGTGGTGGACAATGGGGCATGCCCAGGTCCAGACACACCAGGACTGGCCAGTAGAGGAGCTTGAGGAGGACTTTGCAATGTGGACTTTGAGCCCCCTCTCCACACTAATTTTCACAAGGAGCAGTCAGACCACCTGAACGAGCCACAGAGCCCAGCAAGCTGCTCTCCAGC